GTACGCGCGTGCGCGGGGTCCTTACGTTTTCGTTATACGAGGCGCAGGTGTCTGGTTTCTTGCGATAGATCTGCTTACGCAGGTAGCTGCACATGTCGTCGTCGTGACGCATCTCGTTGGGAGCGATCGAGACGTCGTGGTCGGGAGGGGTGCAGATGCAGTTGACGTCGTGAGCGACCATGACGAGGTTGGTAGTACTGACGCGTGCCGCGGTCACGCGCCTGCGGGAGCCAAACACAGGCATGCAGTCAAAAACACACATACAGACAGACAGACACGCTCGCACACACTCATGCACGCGCGCTCGCACACACACTCAATGACTCATGCACGCGCGCGCACACACACACACACTAATGCACGCGCGTGCACACACACACTCATGCACGCGCGCACACACACTCATGCACGCGCGCGCACACACACACACACTCATTCACGCTCGCGCGCACACACTCATGCACGCGCGCGCACACACACACTCATGCACGCGCGCGCACACACTCATGCACGCGCGCGCACACACACACTCATGCACGCGCGCGCACACACACACTCATGCACACGCGCGCGCACACACTCATGCACGCGCGCACACACTCATGCACGCGCGCACACACACACTCATGCACGCGCGAGCGCGCACACACTCGTGCACACGCGCGCACACACACTCATTCACGCGCGTGCGCGAACACACTCATGCACACGCGCGCACACACACTCATGCACGCGCGCGCACACACTCATGAACACGCGCGCACACACACTCATGCACGCCCGCGCGCGCACACACACTCATGCACGCGCGCGCACACACACTCATGCACGCGCGTGCGCGAACACACTCATGCACACGCGCACGCACACACACTCATGCACGCGCGCGCACACACATTCATACACGCGCGCGCACACACTCATGCACGCCCGCGCGCACACACTCATGCACGCGCGCGCACGCACACACTCATGCACGCGCGCACACGCACACACTCATGCATGCGCGCGCACACACAGTATTGTAGCATATCATCATTGCCTATATATTTGTCATTATTAGCTCCTGATATTATGTATAGCCCCACGAATACCCGTGCATCTACCTATCACTCTATGTGATGATAATAATAATAAGATAAAAGATGGGGATCATCCGGAGTTAATTAA